TTTATCGTATTAGAATAATTATAAGAATATTAATAATTTATTTTATTATTGATTCAATTTTCTTTATTTATCTTAAAGCTTTAAAATTATAATTTATTTTTAAAACTTTATAATATACTCTATAAATTATGTGGAAAATTAGGATAATAATTAAATATCAAAGACAAAAATTAATATCGAAAAGGAAATAATTAGACTATAAAATAAAATTAAGAAACTTGATATATGAAAAAATATTGTAAAACTTTTGTAATATCTTTGCAAGCTGATTCAATCTTTGTGAAAAAATTAAAGATAAAAAACTTAAACTTTAGTAAGTTACAAGAGAGGATTTGCTTCAAAAGTTTTTTTTTTTTTCCTGAATGCTTCTAATACAACTTAAGATATTGATTTATAATCCAAAAAAATAGATTACAATAATTGTAAATACTATGCTAGAAACTCTTTTGAATTATTACATAACTTTTATTATTGGCAAATTTTTCCAATTTTCTTATCATTTGCTTTTTCTTTGTATTATTTATAGATTCCTTTTTGACTGATTCCCTTTGCTTCTTTGTCTAACTTTTAGTGTTTCTTTATCAAGCATCCTTTGATAGATGTTGTTGGCGCTAAATTTCACTCTAGAGGGAGAAGATCATCTTCATTATTAAAGAATTCATCAGAATATGAATTGTTATAAACCTCTTTTTCACCTTTATCTTGATAGGCTTGAAAGGATGTTGAGGCTATGCCTTGTAAAATTTTGTTAAACTCTGTCTTCATTCCTACTGAAGATAATGTTGGCATCATTATTAATTTGTTTTGTAAGAATAAATATTGTTGATTGAAAGAGACAATAATTGATGTTGTTATTTAACTTTTTTAATTGATCTTTCAGTGTTGTAGCCACTGATCAATTTTTGGTTTAGTAATTAGAGTTAGATTAAATTTATCTTACCATTTGATTTTAATTACTCTTACCAAGTATTGTACACTTGATTTTTCTACCAATTTAGCTGAATTATACTCCTACATAGTAATCTAAGTAATTCATTGGCTTCCCACAAAAGAGATAAGCTTATAGTCCTCACCAAAATTGGTCTTCAATATAAAATATTGGAAGTTGATGAGAATCTCTTTAGGAAAAATAGATTGAATAGGTATGAATTTCAGGAACCATTTTGGAGATTTTAAGAAAATTCCCTTACTAAACCAGATGAACTAAGAACGTGTAGCGGGTTGCATAAACATATTACTACAGACATCAATGTCATCAAAATAATTATATTGTTGTGACTGATATCATATTGTGAAACTCTTTAATTGATAAAGTTATTGCCAATCTCAGATTGTCAAAATATTTAATATTTTTACTTTTGAAAATATTATTTTTTGTCTTAGAATTTTGTTGATGAGTTAATTTTATAGACTATGTGTCTAATAGAATTAATTCATAATATTGTCTCTTTTCTACATGAGAAATTGGTACAAAATAGAACTATCCTTCTGGAAATACTCTCTTTAGTATTTCATGTCGCGGTAAACTAAACCATTTTGGTTCAATTATCATTAGGGGTATTGTAAAATCTTTTTCTCTGTAAATACCTTTTAATTTTGCTTCTTTTTTGGAAGTATGTGGTAAAGGGATGAGTCTGTTTAGAAGTTTGGAGTGGACTTTTTTTTATTTTGTGTAGGAATTGTCTTAATTGCCTTGCTCATTATTTGTTAAGGTCCTTTTGTGGAATCTAATTTTGTAAATAGGGGTAGATTATATAGGTCTTTTGTCATATATTTTGAAATAATATTTTTAACATCCTTTCATAAAATTTGTGGAGCTGCCTTGCAATATGTTTGTATTAAAAAATTATTAAACAAATCATCTTGAAATTTATTTATACATAAAATAATTAATAAAATCTCTTTTTTTAACAGTAAAATATTTTTGTTAGATAGGATGCCAAATATCCGAATGATACCTAACAACTTACTCTTTTATAAATTGAGAATATATCTATTTAAGAAATCTATTATAATCAAGTTTTGATGCATTTATTTCAACTACTAAGGATGCATTTGGATCCAGGATTCCTAGACAAGGAATAGTTCCTCAAAATTCCTATTTTTTTCTCTTTCCTATTCCTTATTGTTGTCTTTCTTACTCTTTTCCGAACTTTTCACGACTCATTTTTCCCGTCATGAAATTGTTAATTTTTCTAACATTATCATAAAATTAACCATTGAAGCAACAACATAGGAAAAAGTATTAATGGTAAAAAAAAAAAAAAAACCTTTGTACCTATGAATGTGTATTTTTATCAAAGTTCACAAGGAAAAAAAGATGTGAAAATATGGATGAGATATATAAGAAAAAATAAAGACTAAAGAACAAAACCTGTTGGAGTTTTTGGATGAGGAACAAATGTGGTGTAAGGGTTAGATAAGTACGAAAGAGAAAAATGAGATAGTAAAAAAATGTGTCAAATATACTATACTTTGTTAAAATTTACAAAGAAAAATAAGATGAACAATAATTATTTTTAACAAAATAATTTTTTTAATAAAAAAATACTTATTTAAAATATTTTTATAAGTTAAGAGAGTAAAATGAGAAAAAAAAAAAGTAAAACAACCAAATAGAAATAAAACTAAGAACTAAGGGATCAATATTAATTTTTTTAAAAATTATTATAAAATATAAAATTTATTATTAATGTTTTTTAAAAGATCTTCAAATAAGAAAATATAAATTTTATTGAAATTTATTGAAAAGATAAAATAGTTTATATTGTTATTTAATCACAAATTATTAATTTAGCTTGATTAAGTATTTGATCTTTATAAAATTTACACAATTTGAACTTAATTTTTATAAAATATTTTATTTATAATTTATTTTTATTTTTTCATACAATGTTATTTTTCATTTATTAGTTAGATATGGTCCAACTAAAAATTGATATTTAGCAATATCTTAATGAGTTGTGTAAGTTAGAGAAAAAAAAATAGTTTATGAAAAGTAAGAATTATATTCTAACAAAATATTTTATATAGACTAAATATAAATTGTAGAATTATTTTAGAAACTAAACACTTAATGAAACATTATTATTTATTATATTAATAAAAATATTTGATATTTATAATAATTATTTTAACTATTATATCTATTATGTATTCTAATTAATTCACAAGGGAGAAACTAATTATCCATATAATACATCAAAATTACACTCATAAATGATTAGATATTTAATTTTTAAAACGGTTACAAAGTTGACTTTATAATCTAAAAATATTATATAATATATATATATATATATATATATATATATAATATTGAAAAACTATCTTATCTCTTGCATAAAACTAGAAATTAATTTATACAACATTTAAATAAATATTTTATAGAATTAAAAAATAAAATATTAAGACATAGATATTTTTGTTTATTAAATAAATAAAATATATATTTTTTAATTTAATTCATTTATGTCACAATAAATACCTATTTTATCATAAATTATAATCCTTTAAATATTTTATGATATTATTTATATTTTATCTTTTATTTTGTCTACATATATGTATATGTATAATATTTGAAGAGAGAAGTGTGAAATGAAAATAAAATTTTGATCTTGAGCTCAAAAATAAAATAAAACATTGTGAATTAATTTTATTATTTTTTATTAGAAAAAAATATTTTGATGTATTATATTAATTGTATGAGAAGTTTATAAAAATATATATTATACCTTTTTCATACTCTTAATAATAATAAAAAATTAAAAATATATAAATATTTTCATGATGTAGTAAACTATTAAGTATCATATTACATGTAAATATTTTAGAATATTATTTTATTATAAAAAATTAATATTATAATTAAAGGGTAATATTATTATAATAATTATATTTAAATTTTTATTTATATTGTGATAATGTAATGATATATATAATAATGAAAGAGGAAAAATTATTTAAATAATGTTGGCAAAAATTATTATTACCAATATTTTTTTTGTGCATTACACTAGTATTATTAAATTAAATTAAAATTTTAAAATAAATAAATATAAATATATTATATGACTATTTTTATATTTAATAAATTTTTAAAATTTAAAAATATAAATAATATAATTATTAATCATAAAAAGTTATATTAAATAACATTTAAAAATTTATGAAAATTTCAAATTAATATTAAATTTAAAAAAATCATAACGTAAAAAAATAACTTGATATGAGAAATAAAATCCCACAAATCATTCCATTTTGAGAATATTACTAAAAATATTTTTGTTTAAAAATTCTTTTAAAAATACTCTCGTTGAATACTTAATAACTTATTATTATTATTATTATTATTATGATATAAGCAATTGTAATGCTTTTTACATTAATAAACTATAAAAGTTTATTAAGAAATTTTTAAAAATTGTTTTTTGTTTTAAAAATAGAGAATTAAAAGTTAAAGTATTTTATCAAAATGTTTTATATATGTTATTTATTTAAGAAAATATTAGCTACTTTAAATAAAAGAAACTATTAATTAATATATTAAAAGTATGTGTGTGTCAAGTAGTCGAAGATAGAGAAGTGTAGAAATAAAGATAAAATAGTGATTAAAATTAAGAATTAATTTATTTAAATTAAACAAATATTTGGATAGACATAGATCATGTTAAGAAAAACTATTTAATATATAATTATTGATTGATTATAGTTCTATGTATAGAAATATATGTGTATGCTATATAATAAAAAAAAAATTAAAATATATAGTAAAATATTATTTTGATTATTTATATAATAAACAATAATTTCCAGGCCATGGGGTTCCATCTCGCATTCTCCACCCTTCTTCTGGGACCTTCCCAGCCTTGAGAATTAATTCTCACTCCAAACTCTTCAAATTCTCCCTGGAATATAATGATAATGAATTCTTACCATATAACATGAAGATTCATACGATATGAAGTAACCAAGAGATGTAGAAAAATGATAATAAATCAGGAGAAGTGTATGCCAGCTTTGTTGAACAGAGAAAGCAGGTATAGGAACTCCTGCAGGGTGAGCTTGGAAGACCTTTTCTCTTCAAAATCTCCCTCTTTCAGAACACTCATAACCTTGTCCTTGAATTCAGATTGCACCTCATCAGCTTCCCCATCCTCAACTTGAATGTAGGCTGGTGGTTGAGTAATTTGAATGTGAGAGGAGAGGATATTTGGTATGGGATGTTTGCCACACATATGTCAAAATAAGGAAGTTCAGTCTTCAACACATCACCTTGGATAACCTGTAATCATCAGAAACAAAATGAACTAAGAGTTTGGTTATGCTTATTAGTCACACACGGAGGCTACAGTGAGGTATATACCGTGAGGCGGTTGGAGTGAGGGGTACCCTGAAAGCGTCTTTGGAGTTCGAGAACCATGCGAGGATCAATCTCGACGGCGATAACCTTCTTGCCGGCTTCTAGAAGCTTCTTGGTGAGGTTTCCGGTACCGGGACCTATCTCAAGGATGATGTCGGTGCTTTTGATGCCTGATTTCTGCACTATGGCGTCCACCAGCAACGGGTTTTTCAGAATGTGTTGACCCTTTGATTTGTGGAAGGATATTCCGCCTTGGTAAGGCGCGTGTTGCTGTTGCCGTGTCTTCCCCTTCCCGTTCTCCTCCTTCACCTTCCCTCCCGCCATTCCCTTTCCACACAGACTAAAGGGAGAAACAGAGAAACAATGGACCCTCTTCAATTATAAACATTGATAAGTTCTTCAAAAAATATTAATTTGTTAAAGATAAATTAATAAGAGATTTTGATACGTAGAAGATCAAAATTTTACATTGATTAATAACGAAGTCAGTGATTTAACTAAATTTTTTAAATTATTTTTTTTTATAAATTATAAATATTAATTTTTGAAAGAAAGTCATTTTTATGTGATTTTAAACTTTTAAGAACCAGTTATTTTATTATTATTTTAAACATTTAAAAATTAATATACATTTATTTGTTAAATAAAAATATTTTAAATTAAATTAATTATAATTTTCATTATGTCATATAATTTTTCCTACATTTATATTTAGTTTTAACTTAGCATTAGAATTCTTTAAAAATGAGTGTCAAATTTGTATAATCATGTTATTTAATAATTTTTTATAACATATGAAATTAATCAATTTAAATATTAATTTAAAATTATTTATTAAATAAATTATTTATATTAAATTTTGTGAAAAATAAAATTATTAAGTATTTTATTTATTATTTTGTTTTAAGAGATAATATATTTTTAAAATATAATTAAAATGTTTAAATTAAATAAATTTAAATAATATAAATTTTAATATATATTATTAGAAAGACAATATAAAATAATTCAACAGTTAGATTAATTAATTTTATATTTTATAAAAAAATATTAAATAATATAAATATTTAAATTTATATTTGATATAAATTTTGAATATTATTTAATTATTTTTATAAAAAATAAACTATAAAATATGTAAATAAATTCTTCCTCTACTTTGTTAAAAGTTAGAATACGAACTATTAGAAAAAATATATAATTAAGTACTTAAATAAAAAATTTAATTTTAAAAATTACAAGAAAAATACTTAAAGATTTGACAACCATCAAAATACTAAATAATAAAATATATATTTAATTTAAAAATAATATCATGTAAAATTTGTGTATATATATATATATATATATATATATATATATTAAATATTAATATATTTATATATATAACATAAAATTTTACTCATATAAATATGATTGTTAATATTATTTTTATAATTATTTTTGATAGAAAGATATTCTGACAAATAAGGCCTAACTTTTTTTTTTTATTAAATATTAATATATTTATATATATAACATAAATTTTTTACCTATATAAACATAATTGTTAATATTGTTTTTATAGCTACTTTTGGTGAAAAGATATTATGACGAATAAGGGGTAACTTTTTTTTTTTTTTTCATTTACATTCACTTTCTTATTATTTACTCTCTCTCTCTCTCTTTTCCTTTTTTTTTACACTCTTACCATTCACTCTTTCTTTCTCAACATGCACCTTAAATAAAGATAATATTTTTTTAATTATTAAATTAATAAGTGTTTTTCTTTAAAAAATTTTAATTTTTTAAATCTATTTTTATCTATTAATTACAAATATTAATTTTTGAATGGAAGCAATTTTTATGTATTTTAAAACTTTTAAGAAATTAGTTATTTTATTTTTATTTTAAATAATTTTTAAAAATAAGCACTCATTTTAAATTTAATATTTAGTTAATTTATTTTTTATATTTTTTTTAATTTTCAAATTTATATCTTTCTTTAATTTTATTTAATATAAAAAATATTATTAAAAATTTATATTCACACATTATATATAAATTTATTTATTAAAGATGACAACATGACGATCTTAATGATATGTGTTGGATCTTCAAGTCCTCACATAAGTCAAATGGTAAATTAGATTATTTTAATAACACAAAAAACTCAAATAAATAAAAAGTGGTTAATAATTGAGGAGTTATTCTTTATCTCTTATTTTTTTATGATTCTACAGTAAAACATGTCTTCCTCTCAACCATTAAAGAGAAAGAAAGAGCTAAAAAAATACTAAGAGAGTTCAAGAACTCATTACACTATAATATGGTTTGTAGTTTGTGAGAACTTGTAAATTTTGTGAGAACCATGTGATCTCAAGGTTAATAGAAAAAATAATTCTATAATAGCTACATTAAAGATAAAAATTACACAAAATCTAACGGAAAGTTCTTTATTAAAGTTAGCATATAACCCTTAATTAATTAAGGTAATCTAAGTAGAAAAATTGACGATAAGGGCAGAAACTAAAATTGAATAACCAAATTGTAATATCCTTAATTCATATTTCAAATTATGTTATAAATTATAGTAAAAAAAAGCAAATAAGGTAAATACTTTTATTTTTTACGACTTAAAGAATTGAGAGAAAAGATCAAACTTTCATTTTTATTCTTTAATTTTATGAAAACTTGAAGGTATTCAAAAATTACAAAGGAATCATTTATAAAATTTAAATTTGTAAATAGAGTGAAAGTTAAAATTTTCATTTTAGGAATTTGATTGATCCTTGATACACACATATAAATTTGAAACACAAACAAAATTATTTTCTAGTAAGATAAATTTTTATAAAAATGAATGTAATCTAAAGTTAAAATAGTTAACTATTAACATTACAAATATACTTTAAATTAATATTTACAACTAGACTTATCAAAGTATTATAAATTTAGAAATAAACATTTAGAATAATTACATAACTTTGTCAATATAAATAGAAGTCTAATAAGTATTACAATGCTTAGAATATTCTAAACCCTACATAGCAGTCCTTCCTTACAGTCCCATTGAAAATATGACTTTAGATTGACTCAATCTTCTTTAATTTCTTCAAAATGCATTTCTTGAAAATAACTAATAAGGGTGAGTATTCTCCGCCCCACTAAATCCTTTATTTGATAGAAATAATTGAACGACATTAAAAATATTATCTAACACGTTTAATATATACTAGTTAATAATAACACACAACTCATGCAAACAATTATCTCAACAGAGCACACACATTAAATCAATCACGTTTGTAAAATTCATAACATATATTTCTACATTAATCTGTATGTCATAATACATGTATTATATCACATCAATCAATATGTCTCAATGTTTTAATCGCACTCGTCAATGTATTATAACACATATATCATAACAACATCAATCGATATGTTACAACACATATATTATAATCATACAATTGCTATACTATATCACATCCATCATAGTTTCATAATCATTGCCCCTGGGATTCCTTGAGGACTTCATATTATAGATTGTTGTTGGATAGTCACTGCATATGGATACAAAGTGTGCCAACTCGATCTTTTTAGTAAAAGTATGGTCAGAGATTTAAATCAGGAAATGAGTATAAGACCTGTGGTGTCTTTTTCCTATATTTTCATTAATTATACACAATCATAGAAAAACATCCACCACCCTCATTTCTCCTAGATTTCTAAATCGCCATCGTCTTCCACATCCTCAGTATATCTTTGTGACTATTTATATAAGACTTGAGGGGAAATTAACCAGTTTCCAACACAATTTCATCATAACAGCTTTATTAAGGGTATTCAGATCCCTAAAACCCAGCCCTCCAACATTCTTAGGGGAGCAAATTTTATCCCAGCTTAAAAGATGACATTTTCTATCAGTTAAAGAGTCATAAATAAACTTCTTACATATATTATTAATTTCATTACAAACAGACTTAGGGATGCTAAGGGACTACATAACATAGGAAGGAATGCTCAATAAACAAGATTGAGCAAGAGTCACCTGCCTAGCAAAAGATAAAGAGTTCATTTTCCATAAAGATAGTTTTTACTTAACCTTATCAATCAGAAAGGAGAAGTGGGTTTCTTAGATACAATAGGAATTCCAAGGTATTTACCTATCTGGATACTAGGCTTAAAACCTAAGCATTTAAATATGAAATTTCTTATGGAAGGATCAATATTATTAGAGAAGAAGATAAAAGATTTATTATTTTTAACCCTTAGACCAGAAGTATCCCCGAAGGTAGATAAAACTTCCTTAATGAGAACAACTTGATTTAAATCAGCTTTGGAGACCAGAATAATGTCATCTATAAAGAAAATGTGAGAAATCTTGGAACCTTGAATATTAAACAAAAAAGGGAGCCAGTTTTTATCCAAGACCTTATCATTAATAAGATGAGCAAATTTTTCCATATAAAGAACAAAAAGATAAGGGTAAAGGGGGTCTCCTTGGCAGATTCCCCTGACAGGAGAAAAAACTTCAGTTAAATCATTATTTTAACTAATAGCAATTATAGGGAAGAGATGCATTATTGAATCAGATTGATTAGATCAAAGGGCAAGTCAATTTCTTGTAAAACTTGGGTAATAAAGCTCCATCAAAGTTTGTCATAAGCTTTCTCAAGATCCAATTTAATAATCATGTAACTGTTCCTGTGTTTAAGGGTAGAGAATGAATGAATTACTTGTAAGATGAGGGTATTGTCAATGCCCCGCCTACCTGAAATAAAACTAGTTTGGTTTGCAGAGATAATATGAGGAAGAATAGTTCTTAACCTATTAGCAACAAGTTTGATTATAATTTTATAACTAACATTACATAAAGAAATGGGCCTAAAGTTAATGATGTATTCAGGGTTATCCAACTTAGGAATAAGGGTAATAGTGGTTTCATTAATTTCAGCACTTTTAGAAAGATTATGAAAAATGGCTAGCATAAGGTTAAAAATAAAAAGAGCAAGAAAATTCCACTGATTTTTATAGAAAAGAGCAAGAAACCTATCAGGCCCAGGAGATTTAAAATTACCTATGGAGAAAGAGATGTCTTAACTTCATCCAAGGAGATAGGGAAGACAAGTTATTTCTATTACACTCCCTTAAAGGAGGAAAAGAACTATTAGTGGAAAAGAAACAATAAGGAGGAGAGGGATCAAAGTAAATATCTTTAAAATAATTAAACACTATAGATTTCAGTTTTAAAGGATCATGCTCTCACTTACCAAATTCATCTCTTAATGATTCAATAGTATTTTTATTCCTTTTGAAAACAGCTGCTTTATGAAAAAATTTTGTATTTCTATCACCTAAATTAATTCAAGTAGACCTATAATGATGAAACCAATAAGTTTCTTCAAGATAAAAAATATGTTGATATTTAGTCTAGAGAGATTTCATAAGGTCACATAAAAATGGGTTATTCTTAGATCCTTGTTTATAGAAAATTCCATTTATTCTACTCAAAAGTCATTTTTTCCTGTGAAAAATATTGCCAAAAGTGTTTATTCCAATCAGAAATATTGACTCTAAACCTTTGTATATTCTCTGTCCAAGGACTGGAATGGACCCAAGAATTTTTAACCTGATTGGTAAAATCTGGATGGGATAGCCAGGGAGTAAGAAACTTAAAGGTCTTCTTAGAATTACCTGGTTTATAATTAGATCTTACTTTGAGCCAGAGCCCAGCATGATCAGATTTAGGAATAGGGATATGGGTAACTGAACTATTAAGGAAACAAAGTCTCCAATCATTATTGGCCACAATCCTATCTAGTCTCTCTTTTATATTACCTTTATACCAAGTGAAGGGGTTACCTTTGTATCCCCAAGTCATGAAGATCACAACGATTTAGGCAGTTAACAAAACTATTCCTCTGCTGGATATTAACAGAGCTACCACCATATTTTTTCCAATCATAAAGGACTAAGTTAAAGTCCCTAGCTAGACACCAAGGGCTTTGGATAGATTTGCTAAAGTCTATTAGCTCTTTCCAACAATCAAATTTGGCTTTAGGATGGGGGCTAGCGTATATAAAAGATAAAATCCAGTCAGGCTGGCCACTACTACTAATTTTAAGATTCACTACAAATCTAGTTTTAGAGATCACATAGACTATAACCCTCTTGGTGTTCCAACAACACCAAATACCTCCAAAAAAACCTATTGCATCAACTTTAACTGAACCACTTAGATTAATTTTTTTAATAATCTTGTCAGCCTGATCTAGACTTACTCTAGATTCAAATAAAACAATAAAATCAAGATTATAAATTTTAATTAGGTCATTAACTAACCTAGCAAAAGATTTATCACCAGCACATCTATAATTCTAGAAAAAATAGTTCATAAAAATAGAAAAAACATATTAAATTACATTTCTAAGATGCTGGTCCGTCAGAGGACTGTAATATAAAAGCATGGGGCTAATAGGATTATTTTGAATCCTACTATTAGGTCTAGTTTTTAGCCTAGTATCCATATAAGAAAAATCGTCAGGGGGTTCTCCAAGTTAGGGAACCCAGTCCTTATTGATATACACTCCCACTAAATCCTGTATAGACCTACATCCAGAGGCACTATTCTCCAACTCTTTTTGTATGATCCTCATTAACTGTAAA